ACAATAATCCTCTGCTGATCTGTGCAATTAGAAAAGTCGGGGCCAAAAGAAACAAGCAATGTCCATTTATTAAACATTATGGACAATGTGTCAAATTACTGACCTTTGTACCAGTACCAGCATGACCTGATTCTTTATGCAAGTATCAGTTCACTGCGTTCAACATACAATAAAATACAATTGGTTAAGGGGGGAAAAAAATATTTCCCTAAAGCAGAGTCCTAATTATTGTGAGGAGGGAGATAAATACATTTTTAAGTCAATGTAGCATGATGCTAGAGTGGCATGCTTTCATTTCCTCTCTGAACTATTGCTCAAGTTTCTGCACTCCTCTACAACTGCAAGTGTCCAAAGCTGACCATAGAGCAGCATCTCTGTAGAAGCACTCCCCTTCCTCCTTCTGACTAGGCAGATTTCTCCTGGTAGGAAGCAGGAAAATTTCCAATCTTCCCATTTTGATTTCCAATCTTTTCTATGCTCTTGAAACTGAATATGTCTGGAAACAATTAATCAATTAAAAATACTGTTATAACCCACACATACCATCTAATACCAGGTGAAGAGTATCTGAACTAACTTGAAAATTACAAGCTAATGTTTTTCTTCATATTTGGACATTTCCCAAGATTTTTAGTCACGTAAAGTCTGTGCAAAACATTCTCTTTGATCCATTCTGTAGCCACGGTTCACACCAAGAGTTAAGTGAGTAAAACTTAAGATCAAAACATACCCCTTATGAAAGGCCACACCAAACAGTACAGCAAACCCACTCCCTACACAGTCCAATTTCTACCTCTTTGTCCATTTTCCTACAGCCTTATTACTGCTTCCTGGCACCTCTAGCCAATTCCCAACTGAGGATCAAGCCACTGCTTCAGCAAGACCGCCTCATTTTAAAAATGCAGACAATAGCTGATGAAGGGATAAAAACCCTAAAGTATTAAAATCAGCATCTGCCATATTACAGTTTCTTAGGGGACTTCTTGGGTAGCCAGTCTAAACAGATTGCTTGGCCAAGTGCCAACAAAAGTAACTAATATCACACTTTAATCCGGCTGATACTTTCTGGCATTTCATGATTTAGTTATGTGAAGGCCTGATATTCCCAGTAGACACTGATTATCCAAGTGCTTTGCTTCTCTTTCCTGACATGCTTACTGTATCACAATTCATTTGAGTGGCAGTTTCTGAGTGATTCAATTTTGAGGTTTTTCATGTTCAGAGACTTTTTTGGCGTGAGCAAAAATGGCAACACAAAGGTTAAGCAAATGAAAACAGAATAAATTCGCAATAAAGGCCACACATTGCATCTGGTGTTAGGCAGACTGGGTTCATTATCCCAAATTCCTTTCTGCTTGGCATTAGTATCCTTGACAAGCCTAACCAGACTGACTTGGCAACATGCCACGTGAATGGATAACTGAAGTGCAGTTATCCAGAGGTACAGCGGATAGAAGGATTCAGGAAGAGCAAGCTCAACACTGCACTATGCTACATTGCCAGTGCTAATACATTGCAGCAGTGGACAAGAAAACACTGGAGGTGTTGCGGTTTGTTTTGAGGTGGCGCAGCCCAGGAATGTGCCCGGAGGGCCCCCTAGGCTGTGAGCTGGCTGGCAGCAGCAGGCAGGCAAGGAGACTCCACACGGCTTCTGAGGGTGCTGATCAGATGAAGGTTTATTTGGGGTCCCAACCCCGGGAACAGCATGGCTACTGAGGGAAAAGGGGGGAAGGGGGAGGGAGGGGGAGCCTCGGGGAGGGAAGGGGCAAGAGGGGGGAAGAGGCTGAGAGAGAGGAAGGGCTAAGAGCCAGACTGATTTTATGGCACAGCTTAAGAGGGGAACTGAAATGGGCGCGGAATCACATTGGGCCAATGGGATTGCAGATGCAGGATGGTTCAGGGCAGGACCACAGGCTTAGAATATACCATACATTTCGGACGGGTGAGACAGGGCATACCATTTAAACAAAATGGAATACAACTGAGGTGAATCTCAGGTATCTGAATGCAACAATTTCACTCTGCCTAAAAGGTAAGAGAAGCTGGAGCACCTTGCAACAGCAGGCCAAAGCAGCCCCCATTTTAATGGGCAGGCACCAGGGAGAACAGCATGACTGGAGAGCAGTCAGCCTGCATATTCCACAATGCCACAGTGCAAACCTGCACAGAGAAGGTGACACATCATGTGGAGATTACTACTGGCCTAGCAGCACAGTTGTTAGGAAATTATTAATGAAAGCAGCCTACAGAATCACCATTTTCAGCTGCACACTGCTTTTTCCAGTAGCTCAGAGTGTTGTACCCAGACAGCACTGGCTGCAAGACAGCTGAGGTTGAACGTTGTTTCTACTCCCCTGGACAAACTTGGGCTTAACAGTTTTGCTGCTTCAGCTACCCAAATATACTTAGCAAATTGTATTGTTTAGGACTGTTGTGCAAGTACTGCTTATTTTTAATGTCTGACCCACTATACAGACACAACTTTAATACAAGAGGGAGTACAGCAACTGTATGGTTATCACCATTTATTATAACAAAGTTTTCTAGTTGGAGGAGTAAAAAAATGCCTGTTCCAATTTTAAACAAAGTCCCCAGAAAAGACATGTCATCTGGAGGCTCATCATTACAAGGCTGCTACTTCAGGAATTTTCTAACTTCATAGAAATATCCAGTATTAGTTTAAGATTTTCATCAAATTATTTCTCCATAATTACCAGTCTCTCTGCTCAGCTGACAAGAAAAAAAAATCCTCTTCCCTCACAAAAACCTCCAAATGAACCAAAAAAAACAGCATCTCAGCTTTTTTCTTGCTGCAGGAGACTCAACTGAAAGTCAGGTACAGCCTGGCTTCAAGGCTATATCCTGCGAGAGCTTTTCAAGAAACCAAAACATTTCTATTTTATCCTGGATGCTTTTCTGGGGCTTTCTTGATCTTCAAGGTATTACCTTCATTACTTAACTTTAAAGCATTGGCTAAAAGCCTTTACAATATCTCTGTAGAATGCACACAATTCCCATTAATGTAATGGCCTCTCTGTTATATTAATGCCTTCTTCATTTATCACTTTTACATACTAACTTTGACAATAGAGTTATGTCTCATTACAATGTCTTCTTGAATTCAATCTTTTTTGTCTTTTCTAACAACTTGAACTAAAAGAAGCCATTTTTTGACAAGAGCCATCTGTCAGCAATGATTAAGTCCCCTGAAAAATAGATCAGGTACATGAATATGTTTTGCTTCAATCCAATATGCTTAATGCAGCATCTGTCATTAGTATTGGGGATATCACAGAAAGACAATGATTAATTGCAGTAATTGGCTTTCCTACTCTATCCCAGAACACATGAGGACACCACTAAAACAGTTCAGATGCCTCTGAATCATCAAGTGGAGCCTAAATCTACTTATACTTTCATGACTTTGGTACTTCAACTTAAAAGCACAAACTTGTATGTTTGTTTTTAAGTGCAGTGCAGCAATGTCACATCTATGATTTAATCACCTGAAGTATGTACAAATGGTTTGTGAGCAAGTGTCTCAAGACACTCCCACTGAGGCCAATTAGAGTGTTTCTATCTTGATCCTCAAAACACAGTATTTTCTTCCTGATTTAATAGTGTCAACAGAGTTTAGACCCAAATCAACAAACCATTAGTTGTGGCAGGAGCTTGGCTCAGGCTAATAATTGAGTGTCTGGTAAAGGATGAAACCAAACCCATGTTCTCCCTGGTGCCTGACAAGGGCATCAACTACTTGCTACAATTCTGCCCTGCACAAGGGGCATGGAACGAGCTGTAAGAGAATAATCTGTTTTATCTCATACTCACTTAAATAGTGTCAAACAAATATTAAACAGGATCAAGAGTTGGTAAATAAGCGTACCTCTATCAGCAAAGAAAAAATACAATCTGCTCAAGCCAAAGAGGAACATAAAAAGGATCTGGGTTTGAACCAAAACACTTTTACGTACTGATCTAACTACAAAAGCTTAGGGACAGTAAGACTGGGCAACCAGACCATCAGCCTGGATTATCTATCAAATACATATAATTTATATATGTTCCTTTTCCAGATTACATATAGGTGTCACATCGACCCTGGCCAAAATCAGCAGAACTTTGTCCCAGACAGACATAATGATATGATTCCATTTTCATCCCCAGTACTAATCAGCATTCACTGAGACTTTATTGTGAATTAAGATGATACAGCAGCAAGTGCTTTACTCGACAACAAATGTGCAATACCTACAGAAGTAAGGAGTGCTCTGGAGGCCTGGGCTGTCTTCTTTTGCCTCCACTTTGGAGAGACCCAGGGCCCTCAGAGGTTCATAATTTCTATGCTACCATTTCCCTCACGCTCCAAAGGGAAAGCCCATAAAAGCTTTTCCGACAATCTCTTTTTAAAGGGATTCTCAGCACAGATGGGAGAAGAGCTGCGTGGTTCAATCGCACCTGGTCTCACCCAGAGCTTCACCCAGGAGGGGCAGACCTGGGTAACTCACCCCGTGACGGCCCTTCCTCCTCAAATCACCACACACGGAATCTATCCCAGAGTTCAGCGCCAGCAAAGCGACATTAAAGCAACAGAACCACAGACCGCTCAGGATCTTCCACACACCGTATTAACACCCTCGGCCATAACATCACAGCGCGGCCCCGACCAGCCGCTTACTCCGTCCCTTGCTATTCCCAAAGGCCCGAAGCCAGCGAGCTGTGAAGGAGCGTTCGCGACACCCGCGGTGCCCCCGCCCGGCGTACCCGTCACGGCGGGGCTCAGCCCGTACGGGAGCCCATCGTGCGACGCGGCCCGGAGAGGCGCGGGTGCGGTCCCGGCGGGACGGGAGAGCCCGGCACACACGGCTCCTCCTCAGCCACCACCGCCCCCCCGGCCCGTCGCGCTTCCGCCGACGCGCAGCTCCCGGCGCGGCTGCGGCCAATGGGCGGCGGCTCCGCGACGGCGGGCGGGGCTTTCCGCCGACGGCTCGGGGAGCGCCGGAAGCGGCGGCGGACGGGTGGCGCTGCCGCGGAACTGCCGCGCAGCGGGAGCGGGAAACGGGTGAGCGGCGGGCCCGGGAGCGGGGTTAAGGCGGGCGCCGGCCACCGGCCGCCTTCCTCCGCGGAACATGCGGGGCTGGAGCCGAGCCTCCGGTCCGCGGCTGCGGTGGGACGCGCTCGGCTTCTGCGGGGCGCCCCGGGACCGCCTTCCTGCGTCCTCTGCGAGCACGTGCTCGGGGGTCGCGGAGCGCCCGCCCTGGGAAGCGGCAGCCTCGAGGAATGGTCGGGGGAGCGCGGCCCGCCCTGCGCCCGGGCAGCCCGAGGCGGCGGGGGCTCCGAGAGCCCCACTGCCCGCGAGGCGGCTGGAACGCGGCGGCGGGAAGGACGGGCTCCGCTGGGCAGGCGGCTGCTGGGTTAGCGCCCGACACGGCTTGTGAGCCTCTTCATTTAGTGCTCTTTAAAACCCATATGGGGCAGAAGACTTGGATTCTCAGTTTAATTTGTATATTTGTTCTGAAGGGAAGGCTCGTCCTCCTTGTACATACATCTGAGAGTAGATTTAAACAATAAATCATAAAGAGTGTTTGGAGTCTATATAAATCCCATTATAAACACTTGCATTGATGGTGTGGCGGGTGTGTTGGTGCAGTATCACTACCCTTATTGTTTCTAGAGGGGTAAATAAGGCATGAGTGTGTCACTCAGCTAATTTCCTAGTAAGTACTAGAATAAGTCTTTCAGAATAAATCTATGTGATTAGTTTAACAACAGGGTATGCTGTAATATTTTAGATCCTTCCTAGTATTTAAGCATCTCAAGTCTGCTCGTCATGGTTCTTTATTCTCACTCATACGCCTTAAGTAGGCTCTTTCCCCTCCATTAGGGTTTTCAAGGATAGTCTATAAATTCTTTATCTGTAACTTCAAGGGAACGGTCAGAAATAACAAAAAGATGTAGAAACCCGCACAGCCAGTGAGGACAGTTTGATACAGTGATTTGCCCTGGGTGAAGTGCTGTGGGTTGGTTGGCACTTTCAAGAGTAATTTTTGAGAGCATTGTGGTTTTGACTGGTTATGGCAGCAGTATGGAAAGCTGCCATATTTTGTTGTCAGAGTGTTTGTGCTGCAGGATGGAAAGCCACAGGAGCAGTGGTGATCCATGCAGTTGTTTGCAGTGACATTGCTGGTGGAGCAGTCACATCAGAGCCTGGTAGAATACGCTTTTCATGGCACTGGCGCTGATGATAGGCAGGTCGGTAACTGCAGGTGGTCAGGCAAACATAAGTGCTACTATATCAGTCGTTCTATTAATATAGCCCCCAATGCATTGCTTCCATTGCTCTTGTCCCAGTGACATACTAGAACAATGTAGTAAGGAAGTGGAAGTGGTGGGATTGTCAATCCTCATTGGAATGCTGCTGCTGTTATTAATTATATTCAGTTTACACATGCTGTTTTAAGTCAAAATCATGGTGAATGGGTTGAGGAAGTTTGGAAGAAAACCTCTTGGTATCTAGGTGAATATCCCTAGACTTGTTGTAGTCATACTCCTAAATGCTTTTGAAACTCTTACAGACTAATATTTGCTATTAGGCAGAGACAGATTGTCTTTAAATCTCTGGTTTTTCTTAGTGCCTCTCTCATGTTATTTTATTTCCTGGTGTGTTGGATTTTTCCCTCTGCTCTCACACTTGTGCTTTTTAATTTTTCCAGTAAGACTGTCTATTTAGTGTGTTCTACCTGTCCCGAGTATGAGGGGAAGATGAGAAAGTTACTTTCTCCCCCAAACCATTTTTATCTGCCTTGCCTTCTGTCTAGGTAAGAGATACTGGGAAATCTTTGAAGATTATCAAATACAGAGTCTAATTGTTGGAAGATAAAACAATATTTTCTGTCTTTATATCCTCACAGCAGGAATCATTGCAAGTCTTATAGTGATTTTGCCAATAAGTCACATCTCTCCAACATCTTGTACAAAAGTATTTGAGCTTTTTTGAGAGCTTTCCAAAGTAGAGACAATAGACAAAATTGGCTCACATTTGTCAGTCTCTGCTGTTTATCAAAGTAACATTATAAAACCAGATATATCCCAGTGGCATGGGAGGCACTCCAGCTGCCTGTCTCTGCATTTGCTTTGTTCACATCTGGCAAGATGTAGCCATCTGGATTAGGAAGCTGTAAGTGTTGGAAACAAAAATGTAGATTCTGCAGAAGGATGATAGCACATGTTAAAAAATTACAAATCCTGGAAAAACAGATACTTGTAGACTTGATGAAAATTGATGTCTCAAGTAAGTGTAAGCAGACAAGAATTGTGTACAAATGTTTCAAAGTACTAGAGTGCTTTTGCAAATGCATCAGGAGGATGCAAAAAATCTTAAGAAACCTGTGTAGTCTGCCTGATGGAAAAACCTGCATTAGCATAGACCAAAACATAGTGTTAATTGGAGTAAAGCCATTCTTGGTGGATGGCTACAGTAGAGCAGCTTGTGTTGTGTTCATAGAATGATCTCTGCACTTACAGAAAGTGTTTATTTGAGAGAAGACTTTGCTTTAGGTAAAATAGTCACCACTGATCAAAAATAGGAAGATTGTTTAAATTAATATAGCAAGTGATTATATATCATAATAAACATAAACTTTTTTTTTTTTGTTGTATATGCTAATAGAAAATATTTAATCAGGATGAGTCATAGTATTTGGTGTGAAACCAGGTTTTTCTCATTCTTTCTTTTACAACAACTTTGCTCCTACTGAGAGAACAGATGAATCTCAATACAGCATAACATATTTGAGCTCTTGAGTCTTTGTTAATGGAATCTTCTGATATTGATCCTAAGAGTTTAAACTGTCCATGGTTGTTATTAAAGCTGCGTCAGATCACATCAGTTAAGAAATGGATTGTTTTCTTTTTCTATAGAAACAGATAAAAGGTGCTCAAGATGCTGGGAATTGCATTTTCTTCCATTCAAGCATTTTTTTTTTGTTTTGGTATTTTCAAATAGATCCTTATTTTATCTCATTGTTCCCAGCTAAAATTTGTCTTTTTTGTCTTCTGTATAAAATTGGTCTTCTACTTGTTTACTGTACCAGCATTTTAATCAATGTATTTGATGGTTGATTCTGGCTGATAAACTTTCTTAATTTCATTCCTCTAAATGCAGATGAGATTTTTCTTCCACCTGCATAGTTGCTTGTTGTCTAGTGTATATTTTTTGTCAGTCAATTGACTTTTGTGATCGTGTATCTCTACCTTTTCCCCAGCTTGTGTTTTGGTTGAAATGCTTGTCTTAATTCTTGCTCATTTCAGTGAGGTCCGGCAGTGATAAAAAAGGGAAGGTTTTTATCAGCCTTGCTTCCTGATAAAATAATGGGGTGTGTATGTGAGTGTTGGTGCCTGCTGTCAGTGACGTGTGTTGGGATGTTGGAGGTGGTTTGACTGATAAAGCAGCATGAAGTGTAAGTTTGCCCTCAGCCTCAGTAGTACTTATCTGAGATGCATTGCTTTTTGAACATTGTGTTCAGTTAGCAGTTTCAATAAGTTCTGCAGGCAAAAGGACAGATACCACTGTATTTGTACAAATGGAGAAAAAAGCAGCCCACTTGAAAACCTCCTCTGAATTCAGCTTCTGGTATTTTGCTGTTTGTCTAAAAAACTGAGGGTTGCCATCAAGTACCTAAATCTCTGTTTGTGTGAGAGGTGGGTGGGCTGTGGATGAGCAGGGGAGGGAGTGGGTGCTGTGGGCACTCCAGGTGCTTCCCAGCTGTGGGCAAGTATAGACACAAGGAGTGGTAAGGGCTGGTCATGAGGGACTGGCAATGAAGTGTTTTTAGGGCAGAGCATGCTTTTTCAGCATAATGATTTTGTCTTGCTGTAGCTAATTCTGTCCCTCCTGGTACATAAAAACACAAAAATGTTCAAGTACTGTTCTGAGCGCAAAGAAAAGAGGACAGTGGGGACAGCTAAGAGCAGATAGAGCATCCTCCTGCTAATGTGGGAAGGAGGGCATGGGGTTGGCCTAAGAGCTGTTCATACACATATAGCCCTGGTGTGCATTTTTAAGGCTCTAGAAAAGGTCAGTAAAGTACAAAATAAAAAAAAAAAGTTGAGGCAGTTACTGTGAAGGTGCCAGGAAGGTGCTTCTGATGATGTACCTGACCATCCAATGCAACAATATGAGCAGTGGTTTCAGAATTAGTAAATCTTATGTGGAGCTTACTGGAGAGGGCAAGGACAGTGGATTCTCTCACTATTGTCCTTACCAAAACTAGGACTAGCTGATTTGCTTAGTCAGCTTTTGATTCATAACCTATAGCTACATCAGACTAGTTCTGTGTCTTGGTTGTAGAACAAACTTAAGGTCTGTGTCTTGGTTGTAGAACAAACTTAAGGTCAAGTCTGTTATAAAATGGGACTATAAGAAGATAATCTGGTTCATTTGAGCCAATGCTAGGGTCAAAATCTATGAACATAGATGCAAGTTGTAGTTGAGGGAAGAGCTTCTTTATTCACTCTTTTTTACCAAAGAAAAGTCTTTTTTAGATCAAGCTTTTAATTAACTTGTCACATGCATCACATGCATCCTATGATGAATCTTATTTTTCTTTACAAAGACAGATTGCAGGGTACGGGCAGTTAAAACATTTAGATTGTATGTCTGGTTTGCTTAACAGAAAAACATATGCTTATGATGAATAGATTTGTATTTTTTGCTAACCTCAGTTCCTTTTTTTGTAGGTAGGTGAATGGATCTTCAGAAACAGAGTTGCTAAAACTGACAGAAAAGTAAGTGCGTGAGTGTTGGTTATATTTTGCAAAAGTGTGTATCAGAATTACTGCTACCTCTGTTTACAGTTAATAAACTCTTTTATGTTGATTCTTAGCATCTCTATTAATCAATAATTTTGTATAGCCTCAGAAGTCTTTCCAGTAAAGTGTTTTTACTTTGTGCAAGTAGGTATCATTATGTATTTCTCCTTCTGAGCATGACCTGCTGTTTCTTTTCTGTATTGCCTGTTTTTAACAGCTAGAGCTACTACTGTGAATGAAAAACATAATTCTAGCTGTTGCATATCTACTTTCAGTGCTGCATAGTAGATAATTTGTCACCTTTATAATCAGCAGAAAGGTTTGAATTTCTCAAGTCTGTGTTGTCTAGCACAGCATGACTAGAATCTCTTAGGATGATGGTTTATTTCCACCTATCTTTAATGACTAACTCTGCTTCTAAAGTCACTTTCCTCTGAAAAGAGGTATTTTTTTGTTCTGTTGGCTCCCAATTTAAAACAGGAAGTACCTGCATGTGAAGAATGTATTGTATGCATGTAATCAAAATGTGGGGCTTTGTACTAAGAAATTAAGTGCTGCATTTTGATCTCTTTCCAGACAGTTGAGTTGATGAAATAATTCAAAGTTATTATATATTTTATTAAAAAGTAGAAATTATTTAATCTAATAAATAGATGTTGAGTTACTTTTTTTAAAGTTCCAGTATTTTTAGCAGAACTATTAAAATTGCTGTATGTGTATGTGCATTAGTCTGTACATCTAGTATTTGCAATATGCATGTTTCATATGTGTCACTCTATTGAAATATGAGTGGTTTATAGTATCTCTAAGTCCTGCAATTTTACTGATTGTACTGGACTAATTTCCAGTTCCATGTTCTTTTCCATACTGCGAGTTGTTTTTGCTCCAAGTACATGACATGCTTTCCATATTATTCCATTTTAAAGGGCTAATAATAAAAAGTCTATGTACGGGGCTTGTGCATAATGCATTGTATTGGGAGAAATCCTGGAACCTTTGTTTTTCTGCTCACTGTCCTTTTGTCTACTCATAATGAGTCTGGTTTTCACTAATTGTGTTATCATTGTCTTAAGTGGCCTATCGAAGAGATGAGATGTGGTCTGAAGGGCGATACGACTATGAAAGAGTTCCAAGAGAACGTCTCCCTCCAAGGATTCATGGTGATGTAAGTGTGTAGTAAGCATTGTATCTGTAGCATTATACTGTACCTTTATACAATCACCTGTACCATAGAGGATGGATTTATGTACCTGTGTGACTTCCTAGTATATCCCAAGTTCATTTTTTCCCTTTTCTTTGAAATCAGCAATCTGGTACATGCATCCACACAGAAATAATAGGCTGAATTAATTATTGTTATTGTTTTCTTCTTTTTTTTTAATTTTCAGATCTGTTGGAAGTGTTTTAGAATATTTGTATTTTAGTAAACTGATTTTTTGCTGTAATTCTTTGTGTTATTAAGCACAGGATTTTTAATGACTTCTGGGAAACAAGAGGCCATAATAATGTTATATTTTTCCATGTTAATATTTCTTTTAAGTAACTTGACATGGTAAAGGAACTTCATTCATGATTGTTCTTGTCACCAACAAAGTTTTTTTATAATGTTTAAAGTATAGGAGAAGATGTTTTTAACAAGTGTTAAAAGTACATCTTTGTTAAAGTTGTGCTTTGGAGTTCTGCAAAGGAAACACTTGACAAGGAGAGTGGCAACAGAAATCTGCTTTGTAGATACAGAGTATTTTGTGGTGTGTTATGTATGTATGTACGTATGGTATGCTTATAAAAGCAAATGCAGAAGCTATAGAATGCAGTGCTATAGAATAACTTCAGAATGCTTTTAGGAATTCTCTGTCCCACAGAGTTGGGCAATTTTTTTCCTCCCTTGTCTGAAGTCTCAAACAATAAATAAAAGGTTGTAGCTTTATCTTTGGAGGTATTACCCTGTAAATAGAATTTTAAGAATACTTTTTGATATTTCTATTTACATCCTGTGTAATGTGCTTTTGGCAAAATAAAATGTCAGGCACCAGTTCCTCTTATCTGACTTCCCTTTTACTTACGGTTAATGTTGAAATAATACTATAGCTGATTTAGTGCATCTTCTGGGTTCCCTCTGTTTTGTTTTCAGCTTATCTCTTTGGAGACTTGTGGTTACGCTATGTAACTAATTACATAGTCTTCTTTCTTGAGTAGTTTTTTAGTGGTTGGCTGTTCTGTGACATTTTTGTTACTGTGACAGGCAACAGTAACATTTCTTCATTTTCAGCAAGCTGGAAATCGGATTGGTTTTCACAGGATGTTTAGCTACCTCCTTCTCCAAAATGCTATCAAGATAGGACAAGGGGAAAGGCAGAATGTATTTTCACAGGTGTTTTTTCAGTCGTTTGACTAACACGTTGCCAATTTAATTTAACCATTGCATCATTGACATTTCTAAATTCCCGTGATCTTTCAGGCTGTACAGGGAACAATGTGTGATTAGGCATTATGAAAATTTGTAGTCTAAAAGATGTGATGCACTCATTTTGATGCAAGTGTTAACTAGATAGTTCAATGCTAGCTTTATATTACGTGTGTTTGGAACTGGGGTTGAAGGGAGTAGCAGAGTATACTCATCAGAATTCATATTACCCATCTGTACCCAAACAACACCCCCAGTAGCTGGGCAAACCAAGATATGATGTCTCTCTGCCATACTGAAAGATGGATATTGAGTTCCTTCTCATACAGCTTTGCAGATTCAAGATAGTTGGAAGGCACTTTCTGTCCTTGTAAGCCTGTGCTATGGTATTTGTGTCCATATGTAGAACTTTAACTTAATTTTGATTAGACAAGTGAAATGGAATTAATTTGTTCAATGTGTTAATATGCTTATTGTTTGCTGCTAGGTTGGTAGGTTGGAAATGAGATGAGCCAATGATACAGAATTAAGTATCTTTTTTTTGAAGAAAGCAAGAGATGTGTCCTGATCTAAACTGGGTCCTAATTGTATGCCAAGTATAGATTGTAGCAGAAACACAGTTATGTTAAAGAATGTGAAATTGCAAGCACTTGATGTAATTGTGTGAGTAGGATACTCATCGAGTTTTGATGTAACTGTTCTTCTGTGTGTCGGTATAGTTATGTGCTGGGGTCTTCTGGGTGAGGTTAAAGCAGAGAGCAGATTTATTTAAGCTGCACAGCCCATCTTTGTAAGACACCAAACAAAAAAAAATTACATGTGGAGGATGTTTGATGAAGTAAGAGTAGATCAAGCATTGTGTCTGTGTATGACTGTGTCTGTAGTCTCCACTTTGCACCTGTATGGCTGTAGGCTGGCTTTAGATTGCCCTCTAGTCTGTTTGTTGATGGTCTCTGAAATCAGAACTAACTCTTTCTTTTTTTTGCATGACAATATTTAGCAGTTTGTGAATGCACCGTATTTTTCTGCAGAAACTATCAGTGCATTAGATTGTGACTTCTTACTGTTAAAAAAGCTTGAGTGTCTTTTCCCCCCTCCACACCAAATTGCGCGTTCTAACACAAGTCTCTGCATTAGTAGCTTTTGTTTAAGGCCCATTAAAAAAATGTTTTGCTAAAGGAAGAAGATTTAAAATACAAAATCTTGCATTCATGTTTTCATTCCCTTTTTATTTGTGGTTGATTTATATAAAACTTAGTTCTAGTAAAATTGAATTTGCATCTTTTGCAGCTGTGCAATTTGTACTTAATAAACAAAGAATTTCTTTAGTTGACAAATGGTATATGACATGCTATTTGAAGGAAAAAAATTAAATTTGTATCTAGCAAAAAGCTGCTTGAAACTTGCACTAAAAGAAAAACCAAGAGTGTTAAAATTTTGTCACTTGAATCTTCAGATCACCTACTGCATTGTATTCAGTGTGTGTTTATTCAGGCTATGAAGCAAGGTCTATCTTAAATACAGTCTCTGCAGTATGGAGGATGTTATAGACATAAGGAAAATTGTTAGTATTTTCAAATGGACTGTCTTTTTTTGTAGGCACTACAGGTGTAACTTTGTTGCATTCTAAAGATAATGTAAAAATCTGAGAAATACGTGTAGCTAACCAATGCTCAGAAAGTAGCTGGTGCTACTGCTTGTGAATTCTCAAAAGACAATTAAATATAATATTAAATAATTACAATTAAATAATGTTTAAAAATTTCCTTCTGTAATTAAACATGTAATGCCTAAGGATTAAATATGAGTAGTGTCCAGTTAGATTTAATAAGTTATTCCACTGTCAGACTGGCATGATTTTTAATGTTTGCTGTTTCCCTGGGCAATTTCCTCTTTTAAGTCACATATTTAGAAGTAACTTGGTTCTGCTTTTGTTTATGCATTAGGGGTTTTCAGCTGTTAAAAGCAGTATGGTTTTGTTTGTTTTGTGGTTTAGGGTGATTACCACAGAATAGTAAACATTGTGCCCAAGAAACCGCCACTGCTTGAGAGACCCGGAGACGGGAATTACAGTCGCTATGACGATTACGGTCACGCTGATTACAGAGGCTATAACGAGGGTCGTAGTTTTGCCCACGACCGAAGAAGTGGCCCTCCACACCGAGGTGTACATAAGGTGATTCTTCTCTCATGTTTATCATGTTTATTTTCCCATTAAGACTTGATTAGTAGGTAATTGAAATACTGGAAAGGTCATTATTGTTGCCCCCTGCAACCCAGCTGTTTGAAATTCTGTAATTTCAAGGTGTTGATGGTAATTTATATTTTGAAGATGAAAGTGTTCTTTAAGTCAGAGCATATATATATATGCTTTGGAAACTTCTGTAGTTTGTGTTTGGTATAGCATTGCAAAGTTGCTGCCTTCAATATTGACAGAGGAAGAAAATAAAAAGTAAATGAATACAGTGAATAAATTGAGAAGATATTTGTTGCAAGGATTAATATTTTTTTAGCTCATGAAATGCTTTGGTTTTACAGTGATTAAGTATCATTTGGCAACTAACTGTACTTGACATCTGACATTGAGGTACATGTCATGCAGTTGTTTTGCGTGTGTTTTGCAGGATGAATCAGGATACAGATGGGCAAGGGATGATCACCCTACAAGACCTGAATACAGGTATTTTTTGATTCTGATAGTGCCGTGCATAGGCTGCGAATATTTAGGACATTTTACTTGGTTGCCAAAACAGCTGGTGGAGCAAACCAGTGAAGTAACCTGGAAAGGATATCTGTTGAAGTAAAAGACAGTAGTGGAAAAATGGGTTTTAGTTGCATTGTTTGAAATAGAAATTAAAGAAATTACATGACATGAAAGTCTCTAGTTTAATAAGGATAGGAGGCATCACGATAACATTATTACAATGGTAACCTGAAAGCGTAAGTAATTTAAAGCGTCTTTGATCAGCCAAACTTCTTACATGATTTCAGAGAATTCTTTGTTCTATTATTTGATTCTGCAGCTGCAGTCCATTGAGGCTACAATATAATGATGCCTGTGCAATTTTAAAGGTTGAGGGGATAGATGCAATAGATGTCTTTCAGAATTACATTCTTGGGGCTAGAAGAAATAATAAAACATTTTGAAAAGGAGTGCTTAATAAAAATTTGTGTAAAAGTTTTTCCACCTTCTCCTCTCAGTTTAGAAGAAACAGGGTTGTTTAAAGCCGAGTTAAAAACCAAGAAGACTGAGAAGACTGTGTTAATGTCAGGCAGTTTATTGTACACAGAACAAGAGTGGCACCCAGTGGTCAAAAAGATTGTCTTAAATGCTTCCTGATTTCTTCCTTTCAAAATAAGGTTTAAAAAAGTGAGGTTAGAATGTCAGCTCATTTTGTTGAAGGCTTTGTAAGAGTGTTGTGTGGTATATGATTGTCCCATCTGAATATATATTATATACTTCAGACTATATAGCTGTTACACAACTGCCATAATGCTATGGAAGAACTTCATAAAGATCCATAGTTCAAATATATTTGGAATTGAATGAAATCCTACTGATTCGTTATATAAACATAGTAAATAATCTTGAAAGTAAAGTCTTGTGATCACACTGCTAAACATTTATAGTGTTCCATGTTTGTAATAAACTTAATTACAATTCTTTGTGTATTGCTCACTATTGAGCAATGTAATGGATCTCAAGGAGGATATCAAAGTACATTTCATGGTATATGTTGTCTCTTGTGGTGAAAATACTAATTACTTTCTATTTGAAAGACATTTGTTCCATAAAACGTGATATTAAAAAGTTATTTTGTGCAAAAATGCCTTCTTTTTGGATATGCTTCAAGTTATTTTAGGTAAGTTCTTTGGAGTACACATAATTCTTTTCCTTTGAGGAAATAGGAAGAGGTTTAAGATGATTTTAACCAGAAGGATTTGTTAAAAAAATTGCACAGTTAAAAAGCATAGTTAGAAACTAGACAATCAAGAGACTTGTATGGTTAATGGGTTTTCATAATTAAAGTGACTTTAAATTCTTAATAATAATAGCAGCTCATTTATTAACAGAAATAATAGCTTTCTTTATTATTTTTAAAATCACAATCAGCAGCTAAAAATGTGCTGTAAGAAGTTGTTGTCAATATGATGTTAGCATTTTCCTGTTTTGGTTTTTGAAAACATGCATGTCAAAAAGTACTTTCTCATCTCTTAGCCTTTGTATTTTTGTTCCCCCTATCTTGATTTAGTGTGCTGAAAAACATTACTTGAGATTCTCCCAAAGTAAAATGCTGCTTATCTGCAATATCGAATGTCCTTAAGTGAATCCTGTGTGCAGTTTTGGGCACCACAATATGAGAAAAATATTAATCCATTAGAAAGTGTCCAAAGGAGGGTAACAAAGATGGTGAAGGGCCTTGAGGAGAAGCATTATGTGGAGCAGCTGAGGTTACTTGGTCTGTTCAGCCTGGGGGAAGAGGAGACTGAGGGGAGAGCTCACTGCAGTTTGCAACTTCCTCGTGAGAGGAAGAGGAGGGGCAGGCACTGATCTCTGCTCTGTGATGACAGGACTTGAAGGAATGCCCTGAAGTTGTGTCAGGTGAGGTTTATGTTGGATATCAGGAAAAGGTTTCTCATCCAGAGGGTGGTTGTGCACTGGAACAGGTTCCCCAGGGAAATGGTCACAGCACCAGCCTGACAGAGTGCAAGAAGTGTTGGACAGTGCTCTCAGGCACAGGGTGCGACTCTTGGGGATGGTCCTATGCAGGGTCAGGAGTTGGACTTTCAGTGATCCTTGTGGGTGCCATCCAAATCCTTATGTTCTATCATTCTGTAATTCTCTTCAACTTTGCTGTTGAAGAAACCAGCAGTTAGGGATTTTTTTTTCTATTTTTTTCCCTATTGTTTCTTCAGTAGTATTTTGTTGGGGTTTTTTTTAAGCTTCTTGCCTTTTTCTTAAAAATAGGACATACTTACTTACTTAGCATTTGTAGAGCTGTGGCTTCATCTGTGATGTGTCTAATGAGCAGCAGCAGTTCTCCATGAGTGACAAGACGATTGCAGAGGTTCCAGCACTTGGCTTACTGTCTTTTTTTTTCTTTCCTCCTTCCTTATAGGGTTATGCTTCAGTTTCAAGCAGCTGTCGTTTACATGGTAGACATTATCATGTCTGGCACTGAGTGGAGCATTACCCTTCCACATGCTTTTTGAGGGTTGTTAGCCCTGTTTATGCTATGTTTAGTGAACAGCTGTCATTCTGACCATGACTTTATGGCAAAGATACATACTTTATATTGAAGCAAGGCATCCTGACGTTGGAGAGGGAGAGAGAATGATGCATCTGACTCCATCCTATAAGAAGGCTAATTAATTACTTTATTATACTATATTACATACATTGTGTCTAAACTGAATCTGCCATGTACTCACTCTGCACACAACTGCACAGAGCTGCCCTCATCTCCTGACTCTCCCTGACTGTCAGATGACAGTCCAACACACACACACTCTTGGCCCTAATAGGCCAAGGAGACAAAACATCCTCACTCTGGGTAAACAATCTCCATATTGCATTCTACTTTGGCACAACACAGGCACAGCAAGTGAGATAAGCATTGTGTTTTCTTTCTCTGTTGTTCAGAGGATGTGAAACCCAGAAATATGCCTGGGAAGAATTGTGCCTTGCTTTTCTCTACGAAAAGAAACGTGGCAACAGTTTTATATGTAAAAAATAATGGAATTCAAAGGATGTGCAGGGCATAGATTTCAAAATGAGTTCTCAGCTCTTTCTCTCCTGTTGTCACCTAAGGAATTCTGAACTCCAGGAACTGATGTGAATTTTGTTTTAGCTTGATTTCAAGTGTCTTTTGGTCCAAGTGTGGCTGGCACTTATAAAGAATTGTACATCATAGTTTGGAGGAAACTTTCTGCACACATTTATGTCTTGGTTGCTGATGCTATGAGAATTGTGAGACTTTGCAATTCAGAGGAGTAGAGATCAATTAAGATGTGATGTCTTTGTACATTTATCTTGTACTGATGTTGATCATTTCTGGAGCTATGTTAGTGCTTGCCTTTAGCGAATATAGGCTCATTTCTGCAAAGCACTCATGCACACCAGATTTTTTTAAAAGTTGCAGGTAACTATGTTGTTATATGTTGAAGGATTCTAGTTTTGCAGTACTTCCCTATGGGCCTCGCAGCAATGGGTTTTGCTTACAAGTTCATTTTTATAAGGTCAAATGAACTTTTCAGTGTGAAATGCTTTAGAAGATTGTTAGCTGCTGTTCACTTTAGTCATGCCAAATTTTAATCCTTTTGAGTGCACAGAGCATTACTTCATACTTTTTTTTTAACCAACCAAACTGAGTTTACAAGATGTGAAATATACGAAACTTGGCAAGTTAAGATGGGTAAGACTCATCTTCAAAGAGAAATTACAAAATGACGCACTTGTAAATCCCAGCTACATATGCATTAAATTTGATCCTTAGAATTATCTGAGGCCCAGATTTTTGTAAAATAAGGGTTGCCATATTTGTAGAATAAGTAAAAAGTAGACTCCTGAGAAGTGGCTTACACAGGACATTTTTAATATCCCCTCTTCAGTTGTATATATGAATAATTTTTCCTTTGCTAATGGAGAAAACTTGTTGCTACTATGTATATTGTTTTGTTTGTGTGTTGGATTTTTCTCACACGTTCTAAGTGAAATTGGGAAGTGGTTTTAGTAGTCCAGTCTTTAATTCTAATGCATTTGTTTATCAAAAACAGATCTGCTTATTTCCTGGAGTGCTTAGGAAATACTTTGTAATAAGTGGAAATACTGAAGTAACTTTGTTGCTACAAAAGAGCGAAAACTGTCTAGCAAAATACAGAAACTTAATTGTAAACAGTTTGTGATCTGTGAACAATTGAGATTCATCAGTCAGTTCTATGTTTTGTTTTGGAAGTATTTTAAATCAATGGCTTATTGTCTTTTATTTGGAAAAAAAAAAAGATGGTTTTCTGAATATTAAACTTGCAATTACCACTTTAGGGTGGTACCTTGGTTTTTCTAGATGCATGCACCTTCACAGTGAGAATGGGTTTACTGCAGGCGGTGGAATAAATTGGTTGCAAAGTGAGGGATAGAAGCTGAGCAATCTTGGCTTTTTGATCTCTGCTTGAGCTACCCTTCCATTTAGTGATTAACCCCTTGTAAGTGCACAAAGTGATGACAGGATGTTGTAGTGTTGTGGTCTGAGGATCATGCATGGAGGAGAAAATTGGTAAGAATAGTTATTTTAAATGAAAACCTTTGATGAGAGAGTCTCCAGATGGAGGTTAAGGGTCACTGACTCTTCTCTGAATAAAGCAGCGTTTAATATTGGAAGTCCAGATGTGTCATAGGCCAAGGCAGTTACCTTTACATTGTCACTATGCAATCACCTCTGAGTTACAGGGGGCAGTTATTTCTGGGGTTTTTTTTTTCTCCTCCCTCTGTGTTTTCTTTAATTAATGAAATAGTGAACATGTTTAAGTAGTATAATATTTTAAAGCAATATATTGTGTGAGGCCTTTAGGCTTTGGATTTAAACTTTCTTGTAATGTAAACTGATCTGTGTCTTGCTTACAGAAGATAAACTTAGCCAAAGGGATTTATGAGATGGTGCTATAAATGTACATAAGTCTGCT